CATGATATGTGTTCAACAATTCCAAATGCCTTTTGGAATAGAAAACAACACCTAGTTTGTCTTTCTTATATCAAGAATTTTGATGAAAAAAATATACCAACAAAAGCTAGACCCATACAAATGAATAAGGAATTACTTGAGCACTGTCATAAGGAAATCAAAGATTTACAAGATAAAAAATTAATTAAACTCAGTAAATCTCCATGGAGTTGTTTTGCCTTTTATGTCAATAATGCAATAGAAAAAGAAAGAAAAGTCCCAAGATTAGTAATCAATTATAAGTCATTAAATACAGTACTACAATGGATTAGATATCCAATACCTAACAAAAAAGATTTAATTAATAGATTATATAATGCTACAATATTTTCAAAATTTGATAAGAAATCAAGATTTTGGCAAGTTGAAATAGATGAACCAGATAGATACAAAACGGCATTTAATGTTCCTTTTGGTCAATATGAATGGAATGGTATGCCTTTCGGATTAAAAAAATGCACCTTCAAAATTTCAAAACATTATGAATGATATCTTTAATCCCTATATGCACTTTACAATAGTATATATTGATGATGTCGTAGTTTATTCAGAATCAATAGATCAACATTTAAAACATTTAAAAATATTTGAAGAAATTATTAAAAGAAATGGATTAGTTGTTTCAGCCACAAAAATGAAATTATTTCAAACAAAAATTAGATTTTTAGGTCATGAAATTTATAAAGGAACCATTAAACCAATTGATAGGTCAATAGAATTTGCAAATAATTTTCTTGATGAATTAAGGGACAAAACTCAATTACAAAGATTTTTAGGATGTCTAAATTATGTAGTAGAATTTTTTCCAAGACCTTAGAAAACTATGTGAACCGTTATATTAAAGACTTAGAAAAAATCCTCCTGCATGGTCTAAGTCTCATTCCAAATAGTTGGAGAAATTAAATCCAAAATTAAATTCCTTTCTAGCCTTAGTATATTGGATCCATTAGTCTATCCTATTATAGAAACTAATGCCTCTAATATAGGTTATGGTGGGATATTAAAACAAAAATTAGATAATAAAGAGAGTCTAGTTAGGTTCCATTCTGGAGTTTGGCTCGGTGCTCAAAAAAATTATTCAACCATAAAAAAAAAAAAAAAAGGAAAAAAAAGGTTTTATCAATTGTTTTATGCATTAAAAAATTTCAAGATGATTTAATTAATAAATTTTTTTGATCCGAAAGATTCTTCTGCATCAAAATTTTTTTTTGAAAAAGATGTAAAAAATTTGGTTTCAAAACGGATTTTCGCCAGATGGCAAGCAATACTTTCTTGTTTTGATTTTGAAATCAAACATATCAAAGTACATAATAATTCATTACCTGATTTTTTTTTCCTGTGAATTCTTAAAGGGAAAGAAAAAAGATGATTGACGAAAGAAAGAGAGTGATTGAGTGAAAGATGGCCACTCCCATCAAAAACAATAATTCTCATGAAGAAAAAATATTAACCAATTTCCAAATATCAAAAAATCTTTTTACTATTATCCAAAATCGTCATCTTTCCCAAAAGAAAAATAATCATAGAAAATTTCTAAAAAATATTCTTTCAAATGATATTTGGCGAATAATTCTTTTTGAAACCCATATAAATGATTTTTCTGAATTAAATAAATATATCAAAAATCCAACACCAATACAATTAGCCCAAGCCTTACCCTTTTCTTCAAAAGTTGTTAACAAAATTATTCTTGAAACTGAAATCCGCGCCAAAAAAGTTTTCATGAAATATGAGGAAGAAAAACCACAAGAGCCATTTAGTAATTTGATTCCCAATTTTTTTTAACAATGATTTTTTAGCATCAACATCTGAAAATAATAATTATATTAATCAATTAGTCGTAGCTAAAGAAGCTGCTAACTTAGTAGAAGCCGAAGATTATGAAAATGATTTATTAAATTCTCAAGTTCCAGACAATTCCCAAAACTCTGAAGATAATGATTCGGATAATTTTCTTTCGGATGATTTTCAAGATTATCAAGGTGAAGATTATTAAAGAAAGCACAATGACTCAGCACCAGCTTTATCACGTGTTCAATACTTTCAGGGGATATCAAGATTTTCAAGATTCTCCCTATCAACAAGATCGATCATTTTGTCGGCCAATATCAAAACAAGTTCTCAATAATATTTCAAGACACGTATTCAAGACAGCTCATCAACCTATCAACTACTTTATATTTTATTATGTATTGTAATAATGAAGATGAATTCAAATATATTTGAAATCCGCTCTTTTGTAGTATAAATATGTATCACTTAGAATGCAAGAGCAGAATGCGAAAAAGAGAGAAAAACAGAGATCAAAAAGTGAGAGAGCAAAAATTTAGTGTCCTTTGAAAACACTTTGTAAAAATTCATCTAGCAATAAAACGTGTCTTCATCAAAGCTTTTACTTGTAAGTTTCTTTCAATATTTTCATTTCATCATTACTTTTTATATTCATCTCATTATTACTTTTCATATTTATTAAAACATAAACATTTTAGTATATCTTCATTTATCATTCATTTCAATATATATCATTCATTTACTTTTGAAATACTTGATTTATATTATTCCTCAAGATTGAAAAGATCCTGTCTAATATGGTATGGCAAATACTGTTCAATGCATGCCTAATCTTTTCTCTCTTAATATATATGTATGTATATACGGATTTATTATGTATCTGCCTAATCTTTATACTTTTATTATGTATCTGCCTAATCTATGTACTTATATATATATGGGCCCAGCCCGACCACCATGGCCCAGGCCTAGGATGGGTAAAGCCCAAGCCTGGCCTAATGGGCTTTTTGTAATCTCAGTCCCGACCTATTTTTATAATTTTAATTTTAGAAACAGGTTTTAAATAGTAATCTTAATAATTATTGTGAAATAAAATAAATTAGATATATGTAATAAGGGTAATTAGTAAAGTTAAAAGTAAAATTCTCGGGTTAGGCCGGGACTGAATATTGCCTAAAATCAGTCACAAGCTCAAGCCCAAGCCCATTAACACCAGGTAAAGCCCGACCTATTCAAGCTGAGCCGGGCCGAGTACCTGAAAATACCGAGCCCATTGCCATCTTTATCTTACATAAATAAGCTTTGAAAGCTTTGAAAAACAAGTTGTACAGTTATTTGATATACTCAAATCGGATGGTAAAGTCATGTCTACAAAATCGGGAGGGGAGCAATTCCTTGTGGTTGGCTTCCTATACCTATACGCTAGGTTTTTGATCGTCCCAACGTTCCGTTAGCTCTGAGTTTTGGTCGTCCCAATGCGGGAGCTCGGAATACCCCATTGGACTTCCTGCTTATTCCTGCTTGAGAATCCGTTCGCTGTCATAGTGTTTGGTGTGTGTGTGTGTGTGTGTGTTGTATACATGATTACTACGGTAATCTTAAAATATCACTTTTGGAGTCGATAATCAAGGTAACCCCCATATCACCTCTCATCTTACATGAGTAAAAAAATATTACTAGAATCTTTTATTACGTGCTGAACCAAACAAGGTAATGACCAGATTAAAAGAAAGATTACCGGAGTAATCTTCTTAGGGCCCTAACCATACACAACCTTATGGTCATCTTACCCAATCAATTATTAACAGTGAAAGAGATGAAACGATAGAGCTTTAATGATGGATTTTTGTGAGTTAATGACTTTTTTCCACCCAAAAAATGGCTTAATGATACTTTCTCACCCACGAACTTTTAAAATACCACTTTACCTTACAAATTTATATTCCGACGGCAAACAAAGAGTAAACTCTGTCCAGGCTATTAGGGTTTTTTAAGAAGGGAGGTCAATGAGTCTTTTGGAGGTGGAAGGCTATGTTTTAATAACCAACCCAAGGTGAGACTCGACAAATTTGCCAAGTCCTGAGTTTACTGATTTAACCGGGTTTGACCGACCAATCAAACTGGGTGTAAAAAAGCTTAAAATTCAACAAATACACCCCTAAAATTTATAGTCCCTAGAGGTTTGAAATTTAGCAAACACCCCAAATACAAATCAGCGGTTGACTGGTTGACGGCGGCAACACACCAAATGCAATCTCAATCATCCCTTGAGCCCATTCCCTAGAAAATCTACCCAAAATCGGTTTGATTTCGGCCAGATCGCCAACGTCGACAACCTAGGCCAAATCTCACCACCGTTAGCTTTGACAACCCAAGCTAGATCTCACCACTGCCGTATCTACAACCCCCCGGCCGACGGGGAAAATACTCTCTTCAGCATCCTAACCAAAACCCATGTCACCCCACCCCCGTTCACCTTGCCAATCGTCGGTTGTTGTCGTCGTCAATTTTTTTCGATCAATTCACTCACTGGAAATCACCTTCATCGCCACAATTGCAACATCGGCCCTTCCTCTTCAAAAGCTCCAACATCCTAGTCTTCAATTATTCATCGATCATCATCCCAATTTTTACAGTTTTCAATGAATATGAAAATTGGTAACCCGGCCCAGTGAAGCCCTCGATTCTAGTTGAACTAGTTCAATCGGCTCGATTGGGCCAGGTTTTAAAACATTGGAAGAAGATTGGATTTTGGTGGTTGGGATTGTGTAGAATTTGAATTGGGAGGGGCGACTACACAAACCGTATTTGCTCAATTGTCGGCGATTGTCGGGGTTGGCAAGAGGAGGGTTTGAGGGGCTTTAATGAGTAATAATCGAGGAAGAAAATGGTGGTGGTGTGAGGTCGCAACAATGTTGAAATCGAAAACGAAATATAAATTTAAATAGCAATATAATATTTTAAAAGTCTTTCATTAAGCCATTATTTGTGTAGAAAAAAATAGTTTCCTCGGATTTTTATGGATGTTGTTAGTCAAACATAAATCTTGGTTGCAATTAGAGTACTGTTTTAGGAAGAGATAATGAAAGAGCAAAAACCAATTTTCTCTTAGCCAAATTGTAGCACTCTAAAACACAATATAAAAACCTTATGAAACTCTCAAAATATTTAAGGAAATAAAAACCCCATTGTTTCACTCTTTTAATAAAACTATGGTAATTAATAAAAGAATATAAAGTAGAGGGAAATCTTGGGATATTTGTAAAATTGAAAACAAAATATAATTCCAGGTATTGAACCACCAAGACCCTCAATTCAAGGTAATTAAGTATCAAAAGGGTAGTGGCAATTGAAGAAGCTAAATCTCATACTTCTTGTCTCTTGGGCGTTGATTCTTCTGCAGATTCTGCTACGACCCACTTGCTAACGCGTTTTCGAGCTATAATAACCTGTGCAAATTCATATAGTTTATGAATTATATCAAGTTAAAGTAAAGAATTATATATGCTTGTAATTTTGGCACCAAAATGGAAAAGTATAATACCTGTTTATCCCAATCAGTTCTCCAGGTTATAATAATAAGCACTACAGTTTGAACAAATGTTCCCAACAACATTCCCATCCACACACCCTACAAAACAAATTATCTCAGTTTAACAACTTTCATTTCATGCCTAATTAAGATTTAGAATCTTTTTTTTTTCACAGAAGAATAATATCTCACTTTGACTCCAAATTTGGAAACATAACCAAGCACAACTCCAACAGGAATCCCAATCAGGTAGTAGCACGATAAGTTAACGTATGCCACAATGCTTTGCCATCCAGCACCAACAGCAACTCCTGTTCAAAATTCTTTTGGTTACATGTATATATTCTTAATGTTTGGCATTTCCCTTTTTGAATCGAGAAGCAGCATTAATTGATTATAATCATCATATGTAAAATGACTGGTCTTAATTATAAAAAAGTAAAAGCCATTGCAAAGAAGGTAAACGTTACCGGAGAGCACTGGTTGCACACTATTCAAAAGTATGGAGAAAGCCAGAAGTAGAGAAAGATCTGCTACTGCTCGAGCCACCTCATAATTGTCAGTAAATATGTATGCTAGACGGCCCTTGAGGAGAAGGAAAAATAGAAACAATACTAATCCAATGGCAAATGATGTACAAACTGTTACTATAATGGAGAACTTTGCAGCTTTTGAGCTTCCTCGTCCAAGCTCGTTCGAGACCCTAACACTGAAGATTTTACATCCAAAACAAGATTGAAGACATTATTCAGTTGTAAAAAGGCATACTTAAAGGAATGTAATATTCCCCTTTGTAACGAATACTTCGCTCGATTGAGTGATCACATATTTTTCAAGAAATACTGTTTCTAGGCAATTTATGTCAGGGAATAATAGCTGTCATTAATTAGGCTACACAAATAAAATCAGATCGAAATTTTACGGTAATGCAAAGCAAGCTCATGCCACTTAAAAGGTCGAATAAATGTTTTTGGCATATGGTCACTTCAAGTAAGGATCTACAGAGTTCTATTATCAAGAACCATAAGAGTTCTAGGCAATTGACAATACCTTGCTGCAGCCAAGAAACCAAGGGATATCATCATTTCGAGACCATTGACATTGAGGCTGTTAACAAGAATGTGCTAAAATGGATAATTAGCCGATGTAACCTTAAACTGAAAAACAGAATAGAAAAGTGAATCCTGAAACAACCATAGGAGAGGAGACGATGAATCAATTACCAAATAGAGAGAGCATCAATGGAAACTTCAGCATTTTTCATGTTTCCTGTTAGAAGAATCAATACTGTGTTGTACCAGAGCTCAAGACTGTCAAGGACAACAGAAAACTAACTCAATTAAAATGTTGATTGACAGAAGAAGGAAAGGTCCATTATGCAACAATAATAACAAAAATAATAAATTACATCAGTGTGACAGTTATATTATAAGCTTACCAAAGCATGGCGCCAGATGACAGTGAAAGCTTCATTACAGGCCAAAGATCTTTGAAAGCAAAAATGGAAAAACCTTTCCATGTTTCACTGCACCCACCATACATAACAAACATAAGTTGACCCATATTTGGAATCCAGTATGCCATAACTGTCGATACCATTGCCCCCATGATTCCAAACTTATATTTCACAGTCAAAAGCCATGAAAGAAGGAGATGAATTGAAAATGAAAATGCTGCCAAGTAAGAGATAATCATGTTCTTGCTCTGTGCTTGTAGGAACATTTGGCAGGTAAAGGATATTATGAATGCAAACATTACAGGGAGTAGCCAATAAGAAATGACTCCCGCTAATTCTGCGATCTCTCTTTCCTGGCCCAAAGCAATTAAAATTGGAGTAGTAAAGATAAACACTGGAAGAAGAAAGATTGAGCAAATGAACAAAACTATCCATGATCTTTGAAGATATATTCCCATCATGTGGTGCTGTTGCGCACCATATGCTTGCCCACACAGCGTTTCCAAAGCACTCGCCATCCCCAACTGCAAAAATAAACACTGTAAGTAATACAAGCAAAACAATATTTAGATCAAACATATACAGCATGAGTCATAATACATCTCTGGAAGACAAAAAGTGCACCACTCAAGCCAGTGATCAACCCGAAACAAACACAAAATCCAGAAACGCCAATTCAAGTTTGAAGGTAATGGCAAGTGCATACCAGGATGCCATTTGCAAACCTCAAGAGGACAGTAACCACAAGCGAGTAGGCTGCTAGTTCAGTTGAGCCAATGTGCCCGACAAAGGCTTGACTAACTAAGTTCATCCCAAATGTCGAAAATCGCGTGAAAATGGCAGGACCTGCTACAATCCACATCTTTTTAGTCTCAGTCCACACCTTGTCCTTGAGATTTATTTCCTCATCAACATGATTCTCTTCTGCTTGCCTCAAAAGATTCTCTTCTGCTTGCCTCAAAAGCTTCTCTTCCATCTCTCCCTCCATTTTCACAAACAGAATAGAGCCCTTCTTTAGCTTTCAATATAAATAAAAGTTGAAATTGTCAATCGCTACCCTTTGTTGGCACTAAGTGCAATAACTAAGCAGAGTAGAATTCTAGCACAGTATCCAATCGCCAGTCTCCAAAATTTTTGCTTCTATATAGAAAGTTTTTTCTTTATGTGGATTGTTTCCACAGTAATTTTTGTATGGTCCGAATAAAATGAGCAATTGAAAATGGTTTTCATCATCAGGTTCTGTGTTCTATCACATCATGATTCTATTGTGAATAAAAGCTAATGAGATTTTCATGTGACTTTATTAAATGAAAAAAACGCGTGATTCCTAGATTAATCCAAGAGTATATGTCTCATTTAAGATTCGCGAAGAGAGCATACACTAACACAAAAGCATAAACACTTTTCCATTTTTTCCCCTTTTTGGCTGGCCACAGAGTTCATCAATGCGGCGTAAATCATATTAACAACAACCAATATTCCAATTGAACAAAATAAACAAAGAAAATCATGCTGATATGCTTTAAAATCTCAGAAAGAAAGAAAAAAAAATATCTATCATTTTAACACATAAAAACTTTCAAATGTCTTTGTTACCACTAACCCATATCAAAGCTCAATTTATAGAATAAAACATTAGAAATTTCCCGAGAAAAAAAAAAATGACAGAACTCCTCACTTTTTCCCTGAATCAAAGCAATGTCCTCCCACTTCAACACAACATTACATCACAAATGAAAAGTCTGAATCAAAAATTTCTGTTTCCAGGAACCATTTGCTGATTTTTAAGACCACAAGATTGAAGGCAAAAGTTACGGACCATACTATTATTAACCCCAAAAGCTTAGAGATAAAGATTAGGCTCCCTAACAGTTGTGATCCAATCTCAGAAATAGAACAACAGAAGCTTCTTCTTGAAAAAACGGAAACAAGAAAGTAACTCACTTCAAGTGAATGAACATAAACTGAGACTGTTCTTTGTAATCTTTGTGAAGTAGCTATAGTTCCATGCATAAAGTTGAAAAATCTAAGCACAAAATAACGCTAGTTTATACATATTTGTATCACCAAAGAAAATAAATGAAGTCATGTAATAAGAAAATGGTGAAGAAGAAGACTTACAAAAGCTCTTTTGGAAAACTTTCCAGCTTTATAGACATAATAATTGCAAACTATTTTGATTCGATATGCCACAATTATATAAACACGCCTGACTTTTAGAAAAGATTACATGGGAGTTTTTATATAAAATTTTTAATATTTATCAAATTTTATGATAGTATGATTTGACGTTATAATAATTGAGAAAAAAATGAGGAAATAAATGATTTTGTCTTTTGTTAATAAATTTTCTGGACGTCAACATGACAATTGGTGGTTGAAACCTGTGGTATTTCCCCACACCACGGATCCTCAATTACTTCCATACCATTGGATATTATAATACTTCCAGCAACCCATACAGAAAATGATGCAATAGAAAAAAAAATATCCTAAAATAATCCAATAATTCATATCATTATTAAAAATTAAAAACACATGTAAAATTAGATTATTTATTTACAGCCATCACATAGTTGGGCCAACAAGTATGATTTGCTTGTTCTTTAACACTATTTTGTACCATATAAAGTAGTTTTTTTTTTTTTTTTTTTTAAAAATAATTTCACTGGACCTAATTATTACTTTTGTCAAACTTTGAGTCGAAAAATGTCATTAAATCCTAAGTGTGTTTGTAGTTGCTCCAATTCCAATCCTCTAGGAAAGAAATAATAAGTTAGGAAAATGGTAAAAAAATAAGCAATCTTTAAGATAGATGATAACGTTTTAAAGTTAAATAGTTAAATTCTGATTATTGGGCTCATCACTCTTAAGCTTTTTGTAGTTGTAGGTTTTTTTTCTTTATTATTTTGTTGGCCACGTTGTTGATGTGTCAAAGGTCAATTGATACTGATTTCATTTTCTAAGAGTACCAATTTATTTAAATACATTTTCAATGGTCAGTCGGACGCATTGTTTTTCTTTTGAATCATGTTTATTTGGTTATGAATTTGATTTTGACATTGCTGCGTCTTTTTTCAAATTTCCATGTTTTGATTAATTGTTTTGATTGATATAATTTATTATCACATATTGGTTGTAGTATTTAATACAATGTTCAATTAATAAATAATATTTTATTTTAATTACATATAAATTTTATCTGAAAATGTAATATTTTATTGTAAGTTTTTTTGATACAGTGAATAAAAGAATTAATAATAGTAATTTTTTTTTCTTTATTATTACACACAAGTTGAAAGGCCCGAGGTTGCTTATGAAAGTGAATTTGACACACAAAAAATTAATTAATTAATTAAATAACGTAATGATAATGGAATATTTTGGTGAAAGGAATATATTCTTTTTCAAAGCAACAACTTTCTTAAAACAATTTGTGACATAATAATAGAATTGAAATAACAATTTTGCCCCTCTTAAAATTAGTATTTGTTGCATAGAATATAACAGTCGTTGCTTTGAGGTCTAACAGTTAATCTTCAACCATTTTAAAAGGTCCCAAGACCATGAAATGAACAAAAATAAAAGAAAACATGATTCAAAAGGTCCTAGAACCATTGCTTTTGCTATTGAAATCTTCCACCATAAAATGAGCGAAAATTAAAGAAAATTAAAAAAAAAAAAAAAAATTGTCATTCTTTGTCACCAACACCAACTTTATTCACCACAAAACACAAAAGGGCTACCAAGTCAACAGCAAAAGCATGTATAACCTATCTAATCTAAGAATTCAATAGTCGGTTTGTTTTAGTATTTTGATAGTATTTTTAAAAAAATAAGAGTTGGATGATAATAATAAGATAAGATTTAAAAATTAACAAAAACACCCCTTAAGTTTGTTAATTTCTAAACACCCCTATAATAAAAACATTAAAAATTAAAAAAACACCCCCACCCACCCATTAAATTCCGACAGTCGGCCACCACCGTCGAAGGGTGGCTAGAGTCTCTGTATCAACGCACGACTGTTATATTTGACCGATTGTGCACCGGGATGACCTTTTCTAGCCAGATCCACCGTGGATCTGACCAAAAAAGGATCTAGCCACGTTTGGCCGTCGTTGACAACTAGCTACAGCCAAAGATCTAACTGTCAACGACTAGATCTTTCGCCGTAGAACTAGCCGAAAAAAGCTATATCGACGCATTATCGATCAGATCTAGCGCACTATCAGTCAGATCCAGCCGATAGTGCGTTACTATACCAGATTGCGACCACCTTCCAACAGTGGTGACTAGAATCTAGCAAATGTGGGTGGGTGGGGCCATTTTTGTCAATTTTTAAATCTTTTTTAGAGGATGTTTAGTTAAATTAACAAACTTATGGGGTTTAAAATAATTGAATAAAATATAATAGTATTTTCATAATAGGAAAACAAATGTGCATTTTGGAAATGATAGGAATAGGATAGAGCAAAAATAGGGAAACAAACGCACCCTTGTTTGCAACTTTTTGATAATAAAATATGTTTCATTCATGAACACTTTGCAATATAACATTGTTTATAATACAGAAAAACAAAATAAAAAGGATAATATTTCAGTTTTTTTTTTCAATGTTTCATACTGTGTCCACAAAAAAAGAGGTGTTCATTAAATTATCCCAAATGTCACCCCATCAATGCTCGTTGTGACCATCACTACCAAAGGTTGGTTGCATAAATAAGGAATCAAAACTAAATCAATTTACATTTAGAAATAAATCAGTAATAATATAAAATCTCATAAACAAACAATGGTTTAAAGTAAGCACCTGTGAGTGGGGCAATGGTTGGACACACCTTGAAATGACCACTTCCGGTTGCTCAACAGGCGGTGTACAGGTTGCTGTCGTAGATGGAATGAGCTGATTGGCAGTTGAGGTTGAAGCATTATCAAACCTGATCTGCTACATAAATTCGAGACTCTAATTAGTAAGTTTGTACATGGACAAACAAATTAAAAGACAAAAACATAGAAGAATGAAACTTACAAATCCTGCCTTCTTTTCAAAGAAGCTAATATATGAAATTTCATAAACAAAAAATGGTTCAAAGGCGCAAGCAAGGTTTGAAAGATGATTATATAAAGCTCAAGAGCACAACTTGCTCAAGGGATGATTCACATCATTGATGAGTTGGGGGAAGAAAAGGAAAGAGAAAACTGTAAATCTACCAGCATATAATTTTGATTCTACCTGAGGGGAAGAAGCAACTTTAAAGATGAAAAGTTAGAAAAAAGACTATAGTGCCTGACCCACACATGAACCTCATTTTGACAATAGACCCAAATATTAATTTAGTGAGGCTTTTATGGAAAGTGGATTTGCAGAAAGCTGCTCTGCATAGGATACTTTAAAGCATTTTTTTGAACAGTAACTGTAGATATTTCAATGATGTAAACATTATGTTATACGATACTTTAAAGAATTTTTGGAACAGTACTGTAGATATTTCAATGATGTAAACATTTTGCGCTTCTTCAATCAATGAAAATAACGGCTGCTGACCAAAAGTAAATAAATAAAAGGAAAACATATTAACTGTGACAAAGTTGGAGTCTCATATCTTAGTAATCACGAATTATAAAAGAAAGTTTAAATATGAAAGCAATATCCATTTAAAAATGCATGAATTATTAAGCCTCTTCAGATGTTTCTTCAAACATGTAGCCTGTAGCACAGCATAAAAACCAAATCTCAGCAACCACAATAACATTGCATATTATTAATAATGAGTGAGAAAATATGTCAACGGATCCTCAGAGTTTACAACAAAATGCTATAGAGTAGGAAACATTTAAAAAAAGAGATCATAATACATCACCTCAAGCCCAACACAGAAGGGCAATTATGCTTCTTTATCCATCTTATCAGTTGATGAATCTTTATTGCCCAAGTATACTGAGTAACCAACACATCCATACTTGAAATCCTTAAGAGTACGACCCTCTTTTGAAGTTTCCAACTTAGTTTCTCCCACAACATACCTGGGGACTGGTCATGCACCTTAAAATCAGGGCATATTTTTCAGAGTTTCAATAAATAAAAACCTTAATCAGAATGAAACAGGCAGTAAAATTTAAAACATAATTCTTAAAGATTAGAAAGAAAGAAGACACCAATATGTGCATGCGTAAACACAAATATGTGTATAGAAACAAAAAATCAAAAGAAGCCAAGAAGTTAAACAACATTAGCATCGTATGGACATTGAGTCTAAACATTAGGCAGCAATTCATAGCAACAATGACAAACACTTGAATCACCAATACAGCAAACAGAGCTACAGTTAGTCCCCAATAAAGTAGATTAATTAGCACAGTTAACCAAACTCACAGCTTAAACACTCCCCAGCCTTCTTCACCGTCTCAGCTTCAACACAATCTTCCCCACAACTATCCTGAACACATTAATAATGAACAACCCAGTTTAATCTTTACACTTTATTCTGATATATATCACCAAAAAGACTAAAAATAAGAATTTAAACAATATAAAAATACCATAGTTGCATTGTTGTTCTCAGCGTTGTTGTTGTTGTTTTGGTTGTGGTTATCTTCACTGCCCTTATCTTCTTCAAAACCAAGCTTTTCATCCCATTTTCAAGTCATTTGATACTTCTTTATCAACTATTGCAGAGAGAAATAGAACTCAAATAAATACACAGAAATATAACATTAGACAGACAGTCAAGTCTTAATTGTAAAGAGGAAGAATGTATGGTCCAGAAATATACGTCTGAATCAACAGATTTGAGGACAGAATCTGGTATTTTGACTGGCTCCTCCCTCCTCAGTGGATCTTTTGTTCTGAATGTGCATGTAGATCACTCACTGTACATTCCTTTGCAAGTATATCTTTTACCATCAAATTCCAATTTACTACTGAAAATTGGGCATCTCCCTAACAGTCCATAAAACAGCATGTCTTGGCTGTTTCAATAAAATAAAAAACATTCTTAAAATGATAAGAATCTCAACCCACATACATGGTTTATATATAGATGAAAAATATGTAAATTAGTGGATGTTCTAATTGAACTCACCATTTAGTGAAAACAACAGGATCTGGGCCAGAGGAGTCTTGGTCATTGGCTTCAAGAATCTCAACCATTTGCTCAATAGAGAGATTAGCGTCAATAGCTTTACAGAATTCTTCAAACTCCACATCTATAACATCAGATTCTCCAGCTTTTCCATTACTCTTGCCATTGCCATAGTCTTGCTTGGCCGACGAAGAAGAGAGATCCACCTTTTTCTCATCATCTAATACGACGTCATTGTTGTCGTCAGCATCATTCTGAACTAACTTGGCCGCACGCATCAATAGATGTTTCTCCACAATCTTAAGGCTGAGGTCCTCGTTCGCCTCTTCATCATCCCAGCTCACCGCCGCGACCTCCTTCGACTTTTGTTTCCTCTTCATCAGGATCCAATTTCTGTTCTTGTTTCAGTCCCTGCGACATGTTCTCGGTCTCAAAATTATGAAAGAACTGTAATTTGAAGGAGAAAGTGGGGAAGAATCAATTTGTATTTAAGTCCATAACTCACGTGCATAAACCATGATATTCAAAGAAAACAAAGAGAACAAAACAAAACCCAATTCCCATAAATTGAACAAAACAAAACAAAATCCGATTCGCATAAATTGAACTCAAAGAACACAACTTACAGCTGGACAAAGCAAACTATTCTGGCCAGGGACACATTTCTCCATATCCATCCCCAGCTTCTTCAACATAATCGTCAAAACATCCAACGGACGCAAACCCAAACGCCGATTACTTATATCCTCAGGAAGAACTACAAAACAAACACAAATATCAGTTTCACAGGCACTCTTTAAATGTACTCAAAAACATATAAAATTAATCTATTCTCTATCCCAAAGAGATTATTTTACAAATACCATTTAAATGAATCTATAGACTAAATTCAAAAGCACATAAAACAATCTCTTTGTCGAGACCATACGGAATATGGATAATTCACCCAGCCGTGATTACTCTTTGTGTCATAGCCAAGAATAAAAAAAGGCCATGTCTCTTTTCCGAAACCATCCACGCTTTTTGAGATGTCCTTGCCTTGCTTGCTACCTTTACCAGAAATGATTGAAACTGGGGACTTCTCTTCTTTGTCCTCGAAATCTCGTAAGAGAATAATAGGGCTATTTCCTCCCTCAAAGGGGTGCTTTTCCCCCTCGTGATTGGCTTCCCGTCCTTCCTTGTCTGGTACTTTAATAATGGGTCTTGAAATTGACAGCATTTCTTCTCTCTGTAAAGCTCTTTCGCTGTCTTTGATCGGAGATCTGAGCGAATTTTCTACTTTTTCTCTTTTTTTCTTTTTCCGAATTTTTTTTTCTATTTTGTTCGGTCTCTGATTCAGTTCAGATGTGAATAAGAAAATAAAGAAACAACGACATTCATATTTTAGCCAATTTCGAGCGTTTGTATGTAGATGTGAACGGAGAGTTTATGTGAAAATTAACAAGTTTTAATTAGAAGTTTTGAATTTCCCAATTACATTCTCATAAATATTTTTAACTGGTTATATTAAACAGCAACATATCACATATGCAATATTACAAAATAAAAACATATAAATCATTCATATTCACAAATGACATACTAAGGTACAAAACTCTTTGGATTCACATAAATTTATGTTTATATAAATGATAATATTTATAACGAACAATAATCAATAAAATTATTAATATCTATTATTAATAATAAATAATATTAAACACCAATTATATAAAGTCACATGTACTTTCAAATCTAATTTATTAACAATAATGTTATGCTTACTCATGAGTATATTAATCGTTTTACTATTTTTATTAACATTACATATAGTATCTGTACTATGCGTATGATATCCGTACTATACGTTATATTTACAAAGGATAGTAAGATGGTTAATAAGATACGTGAGTAAGTATAACATTACTCATTTATTAATCTATGTCACATTATAACTAATAATATTTGACCAAATGTCAAAAATTCAAACCAACAATCATATAAAGGAATTCTACCTTTTCAAAACAACAATCACATAACTTATACCTCGAGATTATATATACATATTATAGCATAATGTTTGTGCCCACTTTAGTGATAAAACAAAAGTAATTGTACCTAATTAATTTCCGTTGTTTCTAGTATTTTAGGAAATTATTGGAGGTTGGAAAATAACAGTGGGATTTGAGTCATTTGACCATCCCCTGTTTGAACTTTTTTAGAGAAAAGGACATGTTTCACCCAAAGTCCCGAAGGTTCCCACCCTGCTTCATAAATTTTAGATTTTCATTCACAAACTAACACCGTTAATGATTATAATTAAAACCCAGACTCAAGCTCGAGCTTTGCAATCTTCCTCAAGCTAAATATTAAAACAACATGTAAAAAGGACACACCATGAAATCAACATCAACACTCATTAGCATCAACAAGCCACGAAATTAAAAGAAAAAAATCAAGCTAGAATATCAAAACAATATAACCAAAACTAAATAATGAAACGGACACAGAAGAAATGTAAAAAAAATGCAAGAGAGAAGAAGAAGAAAGAAGAAAGGAAAGAGAATCGAGAAGATGAAAAGAAAAAGAAGCTAGATTTTCCGAAAAAAATTCAATATATTATTTAGGAATCGGCAGATGAAGAAAAATAAGCTAGGTTTCTAAAAAAATTTCAATTTACTATAAATAACCATACTACTTGTAAAACTTGCATATATCCCCCTGTGTCAAACTTGGCTAAGCTTGCAAGCCACTAGCCGAGCATCGAGGAGCTCGAGCTCAACTCTACTCGAATCACTACTCGAGAGGCTCGAGCTCGAGCTTTTCTCGAGCTGAGCCTGAGCCATTTGCGAATGGCTTGGCTCAGCTACACCCCTAGTTGTTCCTACAATCATATAAATGAATTGGGGTTGTATTTGTAGTGTTTCAATCATTTGAGTTTTGAATTAAGATAAAGGAGTATATTAAAGATTTTAGGAGGCGTTTGGTTTTTAAATAATATAAGATTCCGATAATTTTCTAAAACTAATAGTAATTACTGTTGTTTATAAGGTAATCTAAATACCACAATTTTCTTAGGTATTTTAAAATTATTTGGTTTTTTAATTTTGTTATAATTTTACCTTTAACTATTAAATTTTTTGACAAAAATAACCTTGTTTTGAAAATAATTTACAAAAATATTCATGGACTATTTTATCCTTATATACAAAATTTCTAGGACATAAATATCCTTGAATTTGAAAAAAATTACCCAAGACTGGTGGCCAGATTTAGCCACCACCACCGATGGTCGGTGCCATAACGGCACATAACCGACTAAATTTGGTCGGTCATGTGTCGATCTAGCTAGAAACGGTCTGATCTATTATAGCTGTTTCTAGCCAAATCCATTGATTCTAACTGTTAATAACATTTCCTAAACCAAACACACTTGAGTAACTGGTTTGTTGGAGATTTAACCGATTTAATATAAAAAGAAAAGAAAAATATTCTTTCACTCAAGCGTTTGAGAAAATAGATTATACAAAGAACAGAATTTAAAGAGAATGGTGAGAGAGCAAGAGACGAAGTGACAGAAAGAAATTGGCATTACATATTCAGTGTTTCAGGAAGAGAAATTTGTTGAGAAGAACACAAGGTAATGATTTTTGTCATTCTTAATAGGTTATCTAATTTAGGCATTTAGTGAACCTATTATGTTTTATGAGTTTCTAAGATGAATTGAAATGGGGATTGAATTTCTTGTAATTTTATATATATATTAAAAATTTGTTTACCGAAATGAGATATGAAAAGAAAATTCTTTTTGAAATCCTTTCGTTTGATTTTATGAAGAGACATTAAAAAGATTCTGTTTGTAGATTATGTGTATGAAAGTTATAAAAATGATTTATGAACTCTTCTATATGATTTTGAAGAAGAAATTTTATGAAAGTTTTGTTTACAGAAAGTAAGATTTATGAAAAGTCTAGTGAATTCCTGTAAGTATATATGAAAGATTTTCTAAATGTTTTGTTAGAGAAAATGATTTACTGAGTTTTGTATCATGGGTCCGCTTTTATAAAATATTTCTTTAAATGTTCTTTAATGAAATTATGTCTCAATTACCAAGTTTTTGGTCTTCCATTTAATAGTGAATGTCTAGCATACTGTTTAGAGTGATTAACTTTGTTTAACTTTTCCAACCCTATTCCGTTATATTATTCAATCCTAAAAAGTGAAAAATTGTTATGAACAAATATGGATGTCATTTGCAATTCTATAACTTCTTAATCTTCCATCTTCTCTAACTCTTGAACTTTTCAAGTTCTACAACTTCAAAACATTTTATTAGCTTTTAATTTTATTTATAATATTTCATAATCTTGAGACTATAAATATATGTATTGTGAAATATGATGTATACCCAACTTTAAAATAGAAAGGCATTGGTTCTATTTCTCCTCAATCATTGGTCCACAAAAACAGGCAGATACGGCCAAAGATCTAGCTATTGACGATAGCCGTATCTTGGCTGTCAATGATGGCCAAGATATGGTCATCGTCAACGGCTAGATGGGAGCAGGACCGACCAGATCCAGCCGATCGTGCACCATTTCGACGACTTTCGGACACCATCCGGTGGTGGTGGCTAGCTGACAGCAATCAGTTGGGTGGATAGAGGTATTTTTGTTAAGTTATAAACTTTTATTGTTTGGGGGGAGGGGAGAGGGGTGTTTAGCTAAAGTAACAAATGTAGGGAGTTAAAATAGTCTAAATATTTTCAGAAAATGTTTTCCAAAAATATACCAAACACATTCTCAGAATCATATTCTATTTAATTAAATCATATCATATCTTATTCAGAATATCATCTTATTCAAAAAAGTGTACCAAACACGCCATAACATTTTTGTTAGACCCTTACGTGTTTTGATGTGCTTAACCAAGCAAAATAATTGTATGAGGATTAACAAAACTCTAAGGCATGACATCAATCATGACCAAAAATGAAAATACAGGTTTTAATCTCAAAATTATCCTCTAGAACACTCTTTGGTATTTTGAATATATCTTTGGCTAGAGAGCTCCAAATCAAGTGATTCTTGTGGTGTTGGAAATCTCACTCAAAGTCTAAAATATGTATGAATATCCATTCACCCATATTGGCCATTATCAAGAAGAAAATCGAGATACAAGCTTACTATCTAGCAAAATCAACATCCAGAACCTTTTTCAACATTTTAGAGATAACTTTGGCTAGAGAGATAATAATGTTGTGATGTTGTTTGAGTTAGAAAGCTAATTCATACGGCCAAAACTATTATGTTCATAACTTTGCCTTGATAAGCCAGAATCAAGGAGGAAATCACGACACAAGTTGACGGTCTCACAGAATTAAGATCCAGAACATCTCTTCGGTATTTCGCATATAACCTTTGCTATAGTTATCAGAATTACATGATTCTTGTGGTGTCGGAACGATAACTCAAAGGGCTAAAACTTTCATGTTTATCACTTTGCCCAATCCTCCAGAATCAAGATGGAATACCCATTCCAAACGAAACTACATCATTCCAGGAACTCGTTCATGCTTTTGGAATTTTATGGATTGTGAAAAACCAAATGGTACGACCGTTCCATATGGCGGAACGACCATGCGTGATGGTGGAATGACCATTCTAAACTCCAGATTTCAAATTTTATGACCGTTGGTGTCAAGAACAACCATGCATGATGGTGGAACGACAATTCCATTGGGTTCTGCAATGCATTAAATGAAGCAACGACTATAAACAACAGTATCTTCAAATCAGAGTATAAAAGCACACTTTGCAGAAGAAAGAAAAAGGGGAGAAGAGCATGAAAAATCTATTGCAATGCTCATAGTTCAACATTGAACTTCCCCCACTCTCTTTGAACTAAATCTTTTATCTTTAAAGAGAGAAACCTTGTAAAACATTGAGTGTATTAGCCTAGCTTAGAGGCAATCATTCACAAACACTTTGATTCAAACATTGGTGGCGAAATCCTATAAAACTAGGTGCAATCCTATAAATCTAGTATGTGGTGGCGAAATCCTTGTAAAATAGAGGCGAAATCCTTGTCAAAAACTAGAGGTGAAATCCTTATAAACTATTGTATTGGCACAATTCAATTTTAGTGGAACTTCAAGGAGGTTGCATTAAAGAAGTGGATGTAGAAGGTTTGTGGATATAGCTCCGAACCACTATAAATCTATAAGAATTTCTCTTCCCTTAACTCATTTATTATTCCTTGCATATTTATTGCTTTCTCACCACTATTGCTCATTATCATAACTCCTTATTGTTCATCATTATCACTTGCTCTTATTTATTGCTTATACTTATAACTCTCTCATTTATTGCTTAATATTGCTTACCCATATCGCTTAACATCATTCTCATTCATTGCTCTCCATTGTTTATATTTGTTGATCATT